GCTATTTTTTAACTAACGAATAGCGGGATTGCCCGTCACATTATAACGCCCCCACGGCTGAAAGCGCGAGCATGTTTGGCGCGACGGGGATTCGAACCCGCGACCCTCAGATTACGAGTCGAGCGCCCTAACCACCTGGCCATGCCGGGGAAGCTAACTTGTTGGATTAAGTTTAAAAAGGAGACAACCACGTTACTACCAAAATGGGACTATAAAGCTCTTTACCTTATGTATATTTTATGACGTTACTTCCAAAATGGGACTTTAAAACATAAAAATATAAATTCCAGTAAATCACTACAATTTCTTTATTGAAGGATTCCTTTGGTCAGAATTAGATTTTCTCAGTCTCGTTCTCTCAGCCTTAGTTTTTTGATTTAGTTTGCTTAATTTGCTACCTGCGCAATCTTCACCATAGGAATCGAACCTCGAACTTTAACATTATTAGCTTATTTGTATATTACAAAATACCTGATGGTCATAAAACTAAGAAAATCGAAATTGTAATTAATGGTGCTTTCATGTGTTTCAGTAAAACCTAAGATAATGTTTAATTTTATTAAACGTTGATGGTTGTTGTTGAAAACTTGTCTACTTTTTTCTGTTCATTTTGGCACGAAACAGATCAATCATGTTTCTGAACACTTTACTTTTAGGGACTATTCCTGGCTGTACTCTACTGTTTCACCAACTCAGAGGTAACCTAATTATGTCTAATTGTTGTTGTTGTTGTTTATTTACCAGAGTAAGAGTCTGTGATATAAAAGTCTACCAAACATTTTGTTCTTGGTAACATCTTATTCAAGAGTCTGTCAGAATTAAAAGTTGACCGAAGAAAATTATTAAAGATCTTAATTTCGAAAAAAAAATGGATTGTGAGGTATATTTTACAATGTTATTTGTTCGGGGCTCAAATCTAGAATCTGATTTGATCGTAGGGTCAATGGTTCTTTGTTCGTCCGTGCGTGAAGTTAGCTAAAGTGTTATATCAACCAACGTAAAGCGTGTTATAAAGTTATCCAAGCTTTATTGTTTTCATAAAATATACATAAGGTAAAGGACGTTACTACCAAAATGGGACTATAAAACTATAAAATATACATCAAGGTAAAGAGTTTTATAGTAACTGGCAAACGTTTTGTACAATATGGTTTTGTCTTTACTTCATCCTGAATCACATGCGTTCGATTTGTATAGTTATTTCCAGACGTTTCTTTTTTTTTTTTGTTCTATTTTATTTTATTTTATTTTTTTTTAAGAAACTGAATAACTAGCTGTTACTTCTTTACCTACGCAGTGTATTTATGTCATTAACATTAATATAAATTAAATTAACGGAAAATATTTGCGTTTAAACCTGATAAGAATGTGTGCTAAAAGGGCAGGTCAAAAACCTCTAAGATTTTGGTGTAGTTATCCTTAACTTTGAACTAATGGCCCTAATGAAGGCAGTATCCACAGCCAAGGGCTTCGTCTGACTCACTCTATGAGCCGAATAAGGAGATTGATTCTTGTTCTTATAACGCACCGACAAATGAAAATGCGGAGTGTTATCATGGCGACGCGAATCTTGGACCTTTCGGTCCTCAGCCCGAAACGCTAATTATTAGGCCATACAGAAGAAAGTTGTTATTCTTATTTATATTAGAATGCAATGCACCACCTAGTGGCACATAAGTAAGTCTATGGACTTATAGCGCTAGAAACCGGGTTTCATTGCCCGTGGTGGGCATAGTACAAATAGCCCATTGTATAGCTTTGTGCTTAAATACAAAGAATTAAGCGAGTATAGAAACTTCCTGTTTTTGTAAAGTTGTAACGTTTTATTCAGCGTGAACAACATAACCCTCACATTTCTTTTTTACAGAAGCGTTTTAAGTATAGCATCAGTTGAAGAACTTTTCGTGAATATCGTGAAACGTTGTCGTACAAAATAAAATCTGTTTAATTTAATTATTCTTCAAGGATGAACGTAGGTATGGTTAAGTTGTAATTAGATCGTAATGATGTACAAGTTGGCAACATAGCTATTTGTATTTTGTACTTAGGGAAAATCTACTAAACTTATCTGCCACCGTCTCTAATTTTGAACTAACAATCAAAGAGAAGTTGGGCAGTCAACAGCACCCTACCACCCACCGTCCATACAGTCACTCTTATAACCCACAGCCGAAAGTGTAGGGAATAGTTTGATTCAAAGCCAGCTTGCCCGGATCTTTAAACCATAGCTCTACAACAGGGTCCCACCACAAGCAAAAAAAAAAAATGATTTAGAAGTTTCTAGAGTATTCGTACAAACCTGAAAGGACTGCATTGTAGCATTGGTGATCATGTAAGCCCTTTCTAGTGTGCCTCTGGGGTTGATACAGAACAAAAGGTGAGTGATCCCCAAGAGAGGAAACAGAAGTGCTGTTGCCTTTATTGATTTTCTGCAGAGAAAACATGAAGAAATAAATACAACTGATACCATTAAAATACAGTATTATTACGAGATGCTTCGAAAATGAGAGCTCTTCATGTAGGCTTTTGTGAAGAAAATATATTTCTTTAATTTACAATCGTCGTGAAAAAAAATCGATAATATTTAGTTAGCTGAACGATGAGTCAGATAACATTCAAAATATTTTAACTTGTTAGAGAATAATGTAGGGTTAGCTGATAATTTGTTATAGGTTTAACTTGTCACAAAACAACTTAGGGCTAGCATATAAGTTCCAAGTTTAACTTCTCACGAAATAATTTAGGGTTAACGTATTTGTTACTAGTACAACTTCTCACAAAACAAGTTAGGGTTAGCATATAAGTTACAAGTTTAACTTCTCACGAAATAATCTAGGGTTAACGTATTTGTTACTAGTACAACTTCTCACAAAATAAGTTAGGGTTATTATATAAGTTACAAGTTTAACTTCTCACGAAATAATTTAGGGTTAACGTATTTGTTACTAGTACAACTTCTCACAAAATAAGTTAGGGTTAGCATATAAGTTACTAGTTCAACTCTTCACGAAATAGTTTGGGGTGAGCAGGTAACAAGTCACAGGTTGAACTTTTCCCAGTACAATTTAGGGTTAACAAGAATTTAGCTCGTTGCAGAAGAACTTAGGATTAACAGAAAATAAGTTACAAGTTTAGCTTCTCACAAAATAATTTAGGGTTAGCAGGAAATAAGTTAAAGGTTTAACTTACCACAGTGAAGCCTTAAAGCCAGATAGTTTAACGTTTATTTCCCTTTTTTTTACTTGAAATGTCATATAAATCATGGGATAAAAAACAAACAAACACGGTATCAATTATATGATTGATATATTTGCAGACAAGCCCAACATCAT